TCTGATTACTGGTAAGGCATAGCTGTTTATTGCACGGATCTTGTTCTTGCCATTGAGCTGGCTTCTCAGGACTTGCCTTATTCGTTGGAGCTATATGGCCTACCTCATACCACGAGAGACATTGATAAGCACGACATGCCGGCTCAGATGTCGCCCGGCCAAACAAGGTCTGCGTCAGGTGCTGGGGAACCAGAGCACCTTGATGAAAAATGGGCTACTGCTCAGACGTCGCCCAGGCCAAACAAGGTCTGCGTCAGGTGCTGGGGAACCAGAGCACCTTGATGAAAAATGGGCTACTGGAACAAGACGGAAATGGGCGAGAGATGAAAACATAGATCTGTTGGAATGCTACTACTCAAGTAACCATAGCCAGAGGGGCTACATGCAAAGACTGTGGGAGGAATGGTTACTTCAACATCCCCAGTCGACACTAACTGCCAAACAACTAGTAGCTCAGTGTTCCAAGATCCGCAAACGGCAACTGCTGTCACAACTTGAGATTGACGAGGTACAACACAAGTGCAAGGGGGAGGAACCAGGACACCAGGTCAGAAGGGAGTTAACAATAACTACCCGCCCAGAGACCAGAGACTGGATATGTAGCCCCAGTAATGAATGAACCATCTGAGCTGAACAAGGCAGCAACTGACTTGAGAGAGAGAATCACGGCCCGAATGAACACCAGACAACCCCGACGCCAATTACAACGGCTGAGTGAAGTACCATCAGAAAGTCTCATTGAAGATGTGAATGCAGCATTGAGAACGATCCCTACCAACACCATAACGGAAACCAATGAGCTCAGTTTCAGTGATCCTTGAGATGCTTGGCTATAAGAGCAACCATGGGACCCAATACCCACTATGGAAAAGACGGTTAGAGGCTAAGATCTAGATAACAAGGAGGGAAGTGAGCCAACTGCCAGATGCCCATACCTGAAGCACTCGAAACTGCCAAACAAAGGCTCCAAGCCTTGGCCAGCCGCCTGAAGAGATACACAAGAGAGAATTTCAACTCGTTTAGATTACTGTAACTCTCTTTACCTGGGAG